TATCGCGCCTGCGCATCCACACTGTCACTCCTTCACATCCACCCTCTCTTTCTCTCTTTCTATATATCTTTTCGACAGCGCTGGACAATTACATGTCTCGCTCTCGGGCCAACCGTCGTCTAGTTTTTAAATCACGTGAGCGCGGGGCACAGGCCGATCAGGCCGATTGTGGATACCTGTGCCAACGAAGCTGTTCCACGATGCGGGAAGCGGAGATTGATCGCCCCCGTGTACCTGCTGATATTTGTGGCGTTGAATAATCACACCCCACTCTAGAGCTCAGGCTGGTGAGGTTTCAGAGGTCGGCAGATGCGCAGTAAAGGGCTAATGCGCTCGTCCGTCGGAGCATGCTTGTCAAACTGGACTTTCAAGATCTTTGAGGTCTTGGAAAACTGAACCTCGATGGTCAGACCTCCTCACTTACACCTGTCCTGGTTTTCTTAGGTTTTTCACTCAGGTTGGCGTGTGGCAAACCGCAAGTCATTTGCGGAGTGAGCCCTCCGTGGCCTTGCTGAGCAAGGGCTCAAGTAGGACTTGATGAATTATATATTGACATTGAGCAGGACTAGAGGCGTTGACAGCGGACTGGAGTAGCCCACCTTTTTGGCATGCTCAGGTGCGCACGCGCAAGGCACGCTAGGTTTTGCTAGGTTAACGAGGTTTGGCTTCGTTTGTTTCCCCTCATCTTTTCCTCTTACACACACTTTCTTTCCTTTTTCGTTTCGCATCGGTCCGGCCCTTAGCCTCCACGCGCGCAAACAAGTTCCAGGTCGTGTCCCTGTGCATTTGGTTTTCCCCTTCATCGCAGCTACACGCACTCGAGACAATGCGTACTGAAATTGAACGCCGCGCGCCACACGCCCACCCAGGCATGAACGCTAAGAGTTCCGGAAAAAGGTAAGTAATGTAGCCCCAAAGCACCAAAATGTAAACACCAAAGGTCAAGATTCAGGTCCAAAGCTCAAAGGTAAAGTGCGTGACTGCAGTGATGGAACGGATGCGACGGCTGGTCAGCTTGTTCCAGGTACAACGGGACGAATTCGGAAGTTCTCAAGTACGAGGCAGATACAGGAAGGTGATCAGCCTTCCCTTTTTATCCATGACCGTAGCTTCGTTGCGCACGGTGGGTCACGGACCATGGATGCCGTGTGCCCCTGTGACTCCAAAGGTTTCACGCACGCGCTTCCCACAAGGGGAGGTGGCCCTGGGCGGAGTAACGAGAGGTCAGTGAAAAGCTCGGTCTGTTTGGGATAAGCGGTCTGTGGAAGGCGAAGTTGACCAATGGCATCATCGCGTGATCGAGAGGGTCGAGTGTGGTGGCGACGAGGGTGTTCATCAATATAGCCGATGGGTCGAACACGACGGACATTTACAAAATGCATCACCAAAAGTCATCAAGGAGAAAGTGTGAGGGCCCGAGAGTCTCCCGAGGAAGGAAGCCATCCAAAAGAGAGAGCGTCGAACGCCAACGTGGGAGTAGATGACATCTTTCAAATCATCAATGGTGTAGCCCTTCTCATCCAAGTCGGCAGCGCTACCAATTTTTAACTTTTCACCATTTCAATATCTTCCCGCTTTCGATTCTGCAGCGCTGCGGAAACAGGTTTTGCGCAATTCGCCGTGTTACCCTTTCCTATCTCACTTTCGTTTTCTTCTTCCTCTTCTTTCGTCCACGCTCCCTTTTACTTTGTCTCTTTTCCCGCAGATATGATTCCCACTCCCCCTCCCACCATGTTTTGGAATTCCTTTTTACCTCTTCATTGCCCTCAGCGATGCCGGATCGAGTATGACTCTTTCCCGCACCCCCTTGCCTCGACGACGCGATTGCTACCACGGGTCTCCGCACGCCCGATCCTCTTCATCGACCAGTTTATGAAGAACGACAGTCCTACCCCCGGCTTTCAGCCTTTGAATTACATTCATGCGACCCTCACTGCTGGTAGCGGATGGCCATGACGTTGACATTGAGGCAGAGCCTGATGAAGTGGGAGAGGCATCGATTCCACAGCAGGAGGTGCTGCCGAAGAAGCCACGGCAGTGCTCGGAGGTGCCGCAAGCGCGGTGTTCAGGTCTTGGCTGTAGGATTGAAATTGATCAACCATCGCCTGGACCACGACGTTCAGCGGGTTGCATGTGTTTCAGCTCGGGGCTGTCTACGATGTCAAAGTCATACAGCCGCTGAAGAGCCTGAGCCAAGAAATTGTCAAAAGACTGCTGCTGTAAAATGTCCGCGGATAAGTCGTTTGTGTCCATGCTGACATGGAGAGGTGGAGTGGGCCTGGGCAGCCAATTGTTCCTCATAGCGATCAAAGAGCTCATACATGTAGTCATGGCCGGGAGAAGCAACTGCCATCTGTGCGGTGTAGAATTCCTGCATGTCGGTGACTGTCGGTGTACAGGTTTAAGATGTCAGCATCAGAACGAACCGTCGAAGTGTGCGTCCAGCTGCGATAGAACCAATGACGAGCCTCGCCGATGGAGCGGCGTTTCCATTCCTCAAAAGCATGAGGGGCACGCTAGAATTTTCACTGTGGTACCATTCGTTCCAACCGGCATTGTGCTGGTTGGAGACACGAGGAAGGGCAGGATCGTGGCGCCGCAGTCATCCCGGCCTCGCTGTCCGATGGGGATGAAGAGCGCGCGGGTATATGAGAGCGAATCGAGGGCAAAGATGCGAAGATGCGGAGAGTCGGGGCCAAAGGATCTGCAGAGGAGGAGGTACAGTGAAGGTGAAATGGTGAGGACAGGTAACTGCGGGACGGAGCCGGGAGTTCGAGTGAAACCTACAGGTGAGAGAGAAAGGTGAAACCTGCTTGGAGCAAAACTAGTCAATCAGGGGTGGTCGAAGGCGTAGCGGCGACGAAGGATGAGGAATCAAGAAACTAAATTGACAAGTTTGCCAGTAATTGGGTTGCAAGGGGAACCAGCCGTAAAGCGGGGCGGAGGGATTAGTGGATGTAGTCGACGTAGAGTGTAATGTAGATGGTGGCGACGTTGGACGAGCTTGCTTGGGAAAGGAGGTTGAGACGATCTCAACGTCAGTCATCAGTACTGAGAGTCAAAGTAGATCGCGAGGTAGTGGCGCCCAGTGTGGCGGTAGGTGGAGGTGTGGGCGGTGTCGTGTGAGGTGTCAAGAAAGAAATAGGCATGGTCGCCGGCAAAGGTGTGGTCGGCGTTGTAGTCAAGGTATATGGTTCTTCCCGTGCAGGAGATGGCAGTCGGCGAGGTAGGCATCAGGAGTCCGGCAAGAACCGGATAGGACGGAGATTCGAACCCAACAATCAAACTCGAAAGATGGAAATCAGGTTGGTGGGAAATAGGCGAGAGATGAAATGGTGCAAAGTGCAATCGATGCCGCCTCAATGTAGAAAGCGTGAAACGGTGAAGGACGTGGAAAGAAGTTTTCAGCTGCGGGGCGACGCGTCAATGAAGGGCAGGAAAGTGGCTATAAATTGGAGCTCTCAGGCGCTGAGGCGTCCGGGTTGGTGTAGATGCGTCCAGCAATGTATTTCCAGCTGGGTCGAAGTTTCTCGTTGTCTTTGAAATCAGAAAGAAGAAGGTCATCTTTGTCGTCCCAATCGTCGTGCCAAGGTGGGGAGGGGAAGGTGGAGAGTGGAGAAGAGGTGAGGAGGGACGGGGGTATCTTAGAAAATCAGGTGAGCGTGGCGCTTGTGGGAAAGGCGGTGGGAGGGCAAGGGGAAAGAGACGGAGCAGGATACCAGAAACCGCAGTGGAGAGGAAAGAGGATTCAGAGCAGTGCCAGTTCTCACCGCGTAGCGTTGTGGCTCAGGGCAAAAAGGTCCGAGTAGCTGCGTAGCGTAATGTTTTTTCGAAGGCAAGTCAACCAAAACATGGCGCCAAAAGCAACTCATAGAAAAGAGAGCAAGACAGCAATACATGGAGACAATGTAAATGGAGTGCCATGTTTCACATTGAACCCAATGCGCTCAAATCACGGCAGGAATTGGGCCGGAAGAAAAGAACATGGACGCAGGAACGCGGCTCAGGTCACAGATCGCCATAGTATTGGGGCGTTCCTGGGATCACTTTATGGGCAATGGGCCGCGCCCCTGTAAATGACCAAAGCTTTCTTGTCCATCCCAGTGAATGCTACGACCTGACTGCCATAAGCGGGGCCACTCCTGAATTTTCGCCAACGCATGCAAAGGCATGGCAATACGCGCAGGCATTGGCCGCAAAATCATCCAAAGTGTCACTTCCTTCCGGCGGGCCCTTAATGTCTAATGTTTTACGCGCCTCTATATTAAGACTTGATGCTGGTCTCCTTAAAAGCTTCTGTTGGTCTCTAGGTTTTCTGACGTCGCGAGCGCTCCCCCAACTAATTGCGTCGGTGCACTGTGTGAAAGCTTGAGGCGTCTGTCTCTGTCTTTGTCTGTCTGTTCGCCCGTCTGTGTTTGTCTGCTTGTCTGTCTCTGCGAGAGAAAAGATTGTCCCTGTCTGTCTCTTCTGTTATCCTGCCCTACATACGAACATTTCTTGTACCTAGTTCGTCTCGCCCCTCAAGATTCGCCCAAAACCAGTGATCCCTGCGACGATCGCCTTTCACTCCAGCCTCTGTAAAGGTTATGTCTTGAGAAGTTTCGGGTGGGCGGGCGGGCGGGGTCAGCCTCGTGCGCGCGTCTGCCTCCACGCTTGCTCTTCAACCCTGATGTGCGCCGTCCGCTGCAAAAGATGTGGCCCGTTGTGCTTGGTTAGCGAGAGCTGGTGAAAATGGGCGAAGGTTCGGGGTCAGGTCTCCTAAGCAGTCAAACATGAGAAAATGGTTGCTTCTTTTTCAAATGTCTTTCAGTGTTCCAAAGCTTGAGTCAGTTGTGATTTTGCACCGCCGCTTGCCAGAGGCACTACCTGAAAGTCAGCCCAAGCGCTTCGCTTGTGGGAACCCTTCCACGTGCGATGAAAAAGGTGCTGTTTGATAGCGTGCTCCTTGTGCAAGCGAACTTCAACAGTTTGTTTTCGCAATAAATGCCTCCAAATCTCAGGATTACTGTCAGCGATTTGTGCTTCGGCATTAAAGAGCACATCGGGGCCCATCACTCAGAACGAGCGAGATTTTGCTCCCAAAGAGCTCAAGAAAGAGAGCGAAAAAGAAGATATGACGCGTGTTTTAACGACGTTTTAAGGAGCCCTACCTTTCTTATTTTCAATCACAGGGTCGTCGGCAACCAGTGAGCTTCCGCATCAAAAGGTCGAAATTGACCAAGCTCATGACGAACGATCGAAGGGAATACACCAGGAAGCAGGAGTGTCAGTCTCGCTCCTTTACAAAAGGCGAAACAGATACGATCAAGAAGGGAATTGTCAAGAAACACCTCGGCTCCGGGAAGGATTCCCCTGGGAAACATCTTTAAAATCAAAACGCAAAGGTGCAGCGACCTCTGGTCTTACAGTCATACAGTACGCAAAACCATCGCGAAGGATCTTGGCGTATGCGTTGGGAGTCGCGTGATGGTCCCAGCATCCAAGTCAAAACGAATGCCTTTGTGAAAGGCAAGCCCGGCAAGCTCAAAAACTTAACGCGCAAGGCCTTCCCAAGTCGCCAAGTCGCCGTTTGAGCATGTTGCAGAAGGCGTGTTGGAGAAGGCCAAGACTTGGCGGAAGTTCCCGACTGTCAATGTATTGTGGCGCGCGAGGGAAGACTGTTCCATTTTCAACGACTTCGTCGCTGGAGCGCTCTGAACTGGCGGCTTGCAGAACTGAACTGGTTGACTTTGGCAAGCCAAAGTTGTTGGCAAATAATGTTTCCCTTTTTCTGATCCAACTCGTTTGGCTTCAAGGGCAATGTGAGACCTTTAGCGTGTTGGCCAGCAAGCCTGTATATTCAGTAGGATGTCCTGTTCTGTGGATTAACGCTTTCAGCCAAAGCGTCAATGACCTTGGAAGGCTTAAGTGTTCCAGTTTGTGCGATCGGCGCCGCAAGAGAAGCAGCGAACATCGTTGAATGACTTGCGTCGCTGCATTAAGTGAAGAAGGAATTCCACCAATTTGCATGTGCGTTCCAATATCAACTTGGATTGTGTCAAGAAGACATTCAAATTGACGCGCAAGTGTCAGAGAATCGTATGGATGATCAATGGCTTGTAGGAGGAAGTGAAAGCGGCCAGTGCTGCCCATGTTTTTGCTGGCTCACGAGAGCCATGGATGCGTAGAAGCGGGAATCTCAGCAGTTCCAAGCGCGCTGAAATTTAGCCCAAAGTAAGATGGCGAAGTGGGGGGCCGGAGGTCCACGGGAAGGGCAGTGCGTTCAAGCGCAAATGGAGGAACGGACTTCTTGGATCCAGCGCAGAACCCTGCAAGTACATGTATCAGTTAAAGTGCAGCCCGCCGCCGCTGATTCCCAATGCAAAGCGCAAGAGAAGCCGGGGTTGGGAACGGCTGCATTCGGAGAGCATGCAGTGCAGACAAAGTCGAAGTATTGTTCAAAAACCTTCTTGGTGGATGAAAATGCTTTCTCGGTGTATTGCCTGCTGTCACAAGCATTTATGTGCAGCCAAATTTTCAAACGCAGAGAAGATCGGTGATAGCGAAGTTCAGGAACCCAAACGCTGGAACGTCGAAAACTGCGCATTCAAGAGGCCCAAAACGAGGCAAGCCTGGGAAAACATAGTCGTCAGGGACTGCGCCGTCAGTTTGTCTTGAACAAGCAGTTGTTGTCAAATTCGTCGAGCGTAGGCAGAAGATCTCAAGTATATGGAACGGTGCAATCGTGATGATGAGAGAGCGACGCAGGAGCCTCTAGGCTTTGTGAATTAGATCGCCAACGTGAGCGCTCTTGCCAGAGTGAGTCTACAACTCTTCCAAACGCTTCTTGGGTTTAAAGTTCAGTTGGGGCGCAAATGCAATTTGCGGTGCCACTTTCGTTGCAAGACTTTGCGCGCTTAGTGCTGTGACAGGGCAGATGTAATTGCGGTGCACTCACGCAAGGCCGATTGAACATTTCCCAAAGGAAGTTGGACTGCGCGCTTCTTGGTTGTCTGAATTTGAGCGCCAAGGATGTTGTTGACAACCTCTATCATCTTCGTATTTGAAAAGGCGCCCTTCAAATCGGCCCGTAGCTGCCGTGTCGAGGCAAAATCGCCCAGGCCCAGATTGCCACGTGGAGATTGATGCCCAAAAGGCTAAGGGGACGCACTTATGCAACTCCATTGGGTGTAGAGATTGGCCAAGGTCGTGTCCATTGCAAAGCTAGTCATCCTTGCGCGCAAAGCAAGGAAAGCGCGAACCAATATAGTGGGTTAGTTTGTCGAAACAGTTTGACTTGTCCAATTTAAGTCCCACAAAAGGTGTGTGCGTGATCAATCGGCTTTTGAATGCACTTCATTCATTTGCCTGTTCTTCACGCCGCCCTTAAGTTGCCATGGCGTAATGGATTGCTGCCAGGCCTGAAGCTGAGCAAAGCGGAGGCGTGTGGAAAGCAACGTAAGAATTGATTGAAAACAAATCAGCCGCTTCGAAAGTACCATGCGCACTGGTGTCAAGATGGGGAATGCCAGCGTGCCTGCTTCGTTTTGGGTTGAAAAGATCCGCCACCTTGCGCAAACGATTCTGGAGGTAATGCTTGCGCTTCGCGAGTTGCCAGCCATCGATTCTGCTGCAGCGCCCGGTTCTATTTTCTGGGCTTGTTCCCGCAGCTGAAAAGACGTCGCAGGAGGCAGTGAAATCTTTTGGCATCTTTCACGTAAGGCTTGCCTTGGATATTCACCAGGTGCCCCATGCTGGGTGTTCCAAAATGTCCGAGAATCTCCGAGCCCCGAAAAACACGACGAATGTGGAACTGTGGAACTCAAGTTCTTGCAACGATCGAAGACGAGCTTGTAAAAGCAGCAACTGAGGTGCTGCCTGTGGGGCAGCCATTTGCGCCTTCTTAAAGTTGGGCAAAGTACGCCCCCACTGAGTATAAGCAGCAAAATAAAATCATTGAACATCTTCCATTTGTCATCGACCGTAGAATGCTGGTTGAGTTCATGTCTTAAGTTCTGCCAAAAGATAGGATTGGCTTTCGCAACGTTGTCCAAGTCGATAGCTGCAAACTTCTGAAGAACATGGCCAGTTGCTAAGCGCGATCCCAAGCAAACGTTGCCTTCAGAGAGCAGAGTCCTCGGTAATGGCCCAGGCTGAACATGCTGCCCGGTGGAATTCTCATCAAGCACAACTCCGCCGTTCGCAGGACGGATCAGCGAGTAACGGTGCTTCTGAAGTTGCAATCAGAGAAAATCTTGCCCACAATTTTCTGATCTTCTACTGTGAGTTGATCGGGGCCAAGGTGAGGGCCTCACCGGAGCAAACTAAGCAAACCATAGAATTGCCTGCAAGCCATGGCCGCCATGCGATAGCGCTTTTATGCCTTGGAGACAAAGTCAGCGATCTGTTGCAACGTGTAACGCAACCATATCATCGCAAGCAACTGTGAAATGGTGTTGCCACCAGCCCTTGGGGCTCTCTTCTCTTGCTCCTCGTAAAGCCGGTCTCGGACCCTGGTCGCACCATTTTGTCTGAAACGCACGATCACTGAACCCTGGAGCCAAGCTCTGGGACTCTGGAAGGCTGTGACTTTCGAAACAGGCGTTGGTCACTGGCTCACAGAAGCTCTCCTCTGACGCAAATACATTCACTTGTCTAGCTCAGCTCTACTTGTTTTGGATTCGGGATCCGGTGGCGGTTGAAACTGAGCGACAGCATAAGTACACTTTGTGAGCTTGCTTATTGTCTATGCACGCTGAGGCGATGGGGTTTGATGTAGACTTAGATGTGCTGCCATCTGCCAACGATGCTTGGGCACTGGAAGAGAAGGCGCTAAAAAGTCAACTGAAATGAGAGTTTGTCAGAGTTTGTACTCAGCGATTGCATTGATGAATGGTGCTCGGTGCTGCCCGGAAGGTGACTTCTCAATCGTTGTTGTTGACAGACCTGCGGTGGACACAGGGAGAAAGGTAGCCTTGACCCGTGTTGGAAATCGTTATTTGCGTTTGCGATGCGCGTTTATTGAACTTTGATCGTCTGCTGATTTTCTGCCAGGCTCTTGTTGAAGGAGCTTGCTGTTCCCCGTACCAGCTTGAAACTTATACAATGAGGGTGATGTGCCAGATGAGTTCATTCAAATGAAAGAGCCAACCCGTGTCTTTCAGGCTGGCAGACCGACCGAGTTGTACTTTTCAGACGAGACACCGCTCCTCTGGCACGCCTTATATTATCGTGCAACTCAGTTTGTAAGTTGCGAGCCTTTGTTCGACTCCCATCTATGTTCCAAACACGTAGTGCTGTAGTATGCGTTAACAAAAAGTGCAAAAAGTTGGTTTAGAAGACAAGGTGGAAAGGTTCCTGCTCCGCACGCAAAAGGTTTCTGGCCTTATGACCACTCTGTATGGCCTGGTGTCGAAGATGCTTTGGCAAAGGGTTTGGATCTGTACTTTGATAGGAAGACCTCAAAGCTAACGGGTTTTGCGGCTTGGCTTCTTGTCATGATCTTGGTTGGGTGAAACTGGAACCCCCAGCGATGTGTGAAGACTGCAGAAAATCAATCTTCTTCAGACCCAGCGCCTGAACCGCTTGGGCAGGCCACGGCTTTCTGTGCGCGTGAGGGTTGCCCTTCTTTTGGATGGAGGTAGGCCCACTACTCCTGAAAAAGCGTTCTTGGGCGCGCGCAACAACCCATAAAAGCAACGTTTGCGTACCAATTTGTGCACTCAAGGGCGCCTCACGAACAGGTCTGGAGGTATTTGCCACACTGATGCGCAGCCATGTCATCACAGGAACCCAGATACAGACTTCATCACACTGCTTGGATGCCTGGTCTCTGAGCTCTCATGTATATAAGTGGTCGCTTGCGCACTCTCACGGTGGCTACCGAGTAAGTTAAAACTGTGTCGAGCTTTGGGCAGGTTTGGGTGCACAGTATTCATTACATTTGTTACACTGTCCATTTTGGCTCAAGCCAAAAGTGGGACAGTGGAGTTTCTGTTCTGCTTAAGTTTTGCTGTGGTTGCTGTGGATGGCTTCCCAGCATATCGTCGGTGTGCATGTTGCCATGTTCACGGGCGCTGAGGTGCTTTCGTCCGCCGCGTTCATCGAGTTCCGTCGCCAGGTCGACGCTCTTCTGGTGTGGGGGGAGCGGGCAGGCGCACTGCGGCTTTGGGGCTCGGTGGTTCTCTTTGAACACATGCCTCCGTCTACACGCCCGGGGGACGGGCCAGCCGGTTTCCCATCTATGCGGATTTCTGTCTTTCCCAAGAGCGTGCGCCCACGTTGCGACCAGGGGCGAGGGGGCTACGCCTTCCCGTGGGTCGGGATTTGGAACCGTCGCGGGACCATCGTTCCATCTGGGTTCACTCCTCAGCAGGCCTGGGATAGGCATGCCAGGTTGGACGCCTCGATGGACCTCCTTTTGTTGCAGCCCTACCGTACCCCGTATTCTGCAGACAATTTTGTGCCATCCTACTTATGGGAGTTTATGCAAAAAGTTCCCGGGGACTTGGACCTCTTGCCCCTGCAGACCTTTCAATCCGAAGTCCTCTATTACATGCGGCGCTGGATCTTGGGATCACCACATGGGTTGTGGTCCAACCCCTTTCGTGCCCCACTGCCAGACATCGAGCACCTGCCGCGAATTTGGACGCCCTTCGCCCGAAGATTCGTGCCCATCGAGCCCTTCGTGGATGGTTGGGGTCCTCAATCAACGGAGAGACAGAGTTTCCTCCGGCATGTTGCGGCTGTGGTGATCCCACTTATCGGCAGTGCCTTGGTTGTATCAAGGGAGTGTGCGCCGCCTGTTTCCCAGTGCTCCAAATCTGTCCGGCCTGCCGCGAACTTTCGTCGTCTGATGACGATAGTGGGTAATTCCGTGGGTGCGCAAGCCATGGCATACCGTGCGCAGGTTGCTGAAGCCGTGGAGGCTCCAGTGGATGATCCTGCTTCTTCGGTAGGCTGGCGGGCTGAAGACAGCTTGGCCCGTGTTGCAGGAGCTCGCGCCATCACATGGCGGCGTGAGCGGGGCTATGAGAAGGACGAAGACTTTGCATTTGCCTTCTCCACATGGGAGGAAGCTGTGGCCGTGGGAGGCCATTTCTTGGCGGATGCTTGGCTTGCAGTCCGGGTCGCTCAGCAGGAGGAGCTCCTGCCCGCGGCCGCTCGGTTGATCGAAGGGGGACCTCCGGTGCCGGATAGACACGTCCTCCGCTCGCTCGGAAGAGGAAGGAAGCTCCACTTGAGGCGGGGGTACGCCTCCACGAGCGGGTGCAGAATCAGCCCGAGTCGATCCAGCGCCAGGTCCTGGCTCTACAGAAGGTGTTCCTGACCGTGGGTGCATTGAAGCCCGATGGGCTGCTGACTGAGGTCCTGAAGCTTGGCAGGCTTCCGCCCTTCGCTTGGCGCAAACCAAGGTTGCGGAGTCTGAGCCGGTGACGATTCAGAATGCTCTCCGCACATACGGTGAGCTCCACGCCTTTTTGCTCCACAGAGGGAGATCTTTTCCTCCGGCCTTCGTGGACGTGGACAACTTCCTGCATCAGGGGACGATGGCCCCCACCCGCGCGCTCAATGTGCTTCGTTGGTTGTGCAAGCACGCTGGAGCTTCTTGGGACATTGGACGGCTTCGCGTCTCCCCTGAGTTGAAGAAGAAGGCCACTTCAACGAAGAGCCAAGCCCTTGTTGTGGAGCCCGGCATGCTGCAGCTGTTGGAGGAGCGCATCGAGAGCATGTGCCGTGGGGGGGGACCCGCGGTGAACATGCCTTCTCGGGTCTTGGCTTGTGGCCACTGGTTGTTTGAGGTACCAACACCTTCGTCGGTCGACCATCCGTCGAGCCAGTTTGATGGTGTTTCATGGCCATTGTCGCAAGGGCAAGCAACGTCACGCCCGAGGTGGTTTTGATTGGTGCGCCCCAGCCGAGTTTGCCTCCGGGTTCAACTGGACCTCCGAGTGGGTCAAAGAATGGAAGGCCCTTTCACCTGTGGCCCAGGAGAGCTTTGGCATTTGCTTTGATAGGCGTGGGACGCCTTGGAACATCGCTGAGGTGCAGCACCTGTGCCACTCGATCTTCGCCGAGTTTTTGGACAACCCTGAACAGTTAACCACTTACTCCTGGAGGCGGATGCTTCCAACTGTGGGCCATATTTTGAACATGTCATCCTCAGACCTTTGCTCCCTGGGCAATTGGCAAGACCGGTCAAAGGAACCGGCTGATGCCGGGATGGCGCTTCACTATTCGCTGTATGCCGCCCAGTCGCTGAAGACCCATCTCCTGTTGCGGCCGTGTCGGCCACGCCCGGCGGTGTCCATGCCGGATGCCATCCGTGGCCGCGTGCTGACGGCCTTCCTGAAGAATGGTCGCCGCCTTTGCGGGGCCTTTCAGATGCCCTCGGGTTGCGACGAGGGGGAAGAGGTCTGCGGCAATGCTCACATGTGCGCCGTCCTTTTGGCCCGGGGTCGGGCTTGTGGAGGCAGTCACGGGGCATTCGTTTGCACGGAGAAGAAGTATTTGGCCGCAGCGACGCCGGTTCCAGTTCGAGCGTCTTCAACATCGGCTACGACCTCCACACAGTCCAAGGCTAAGCCCACTGTGAGTGTCAAGCGCAGGCGAGAAGATTCGCCCCAGCCGAGTGCTCGGCCTGAAGTTCCTGCTGCCCACCAGTCAGCAAAGGATGTCCACATTCACCAACACAACCATCATGCAGCATGTCCTGACCAGCACTGCCCTCTCTTCCAGGAGCATCGATGAGGTCAAAGTGTCAGCAGCCAGGAAGGTGCAAATGCAGGCCCAAAGGCGCAGGCAGGAAGCTGTGACCAAGATGATGAAAGCTTCCACACACACTTTGCCCCAGAAGATCCAGGACCTAATGCAGCCTCGCCAAACTTGGCCTTCGCCAAGCCCAGCTGGCCTGTTCCAAAGTGCAGCAGCAACCCAGTGGATCATGCATTTCTGGAAACAGAATACCTCTCAAGGAGGGGACATCAACAGTGCATGGCTGTCACTCCACCGAAGGCACCACCACACAAAGCGGCCCCGCCGGCTTTGATTGCCACTTCGGCCAAGAAAGGGCCCAGAGAGCCCTCGCCACCCCCTCTCGCCAGGGTCCACAGTCAGCGCCATCGGCCCCGAGTACACTGCCCATCCCTGCTGTCTCGCCAGGTCCTACTCATTGGGATCGTCTAGCCACGTCTGAGGGGCGTGATACCCTGGCTCCCACCCTGATCAAGGTCAGGTGGACAGCTATGGCTAGCGGGCATTCCCATTGCAGAGACAGTGCAGTACTATCCCAAGACCCATCTTCAGATCGCCTGCCTGCCACAACACCCCGAGGGTCGGGGCGGTGTGACATTGCCACAGGCATGTATCATGAAAGTTCAGATGGGCAGCAAGCGCATGGATCACGAGTTTCGGGCCGCGTGGCCTATCATTCATCAGAGCCTGCACTGCGGTGATTCCGTGTTGGTGCATTGCATGGCGGGTAAACATCGAGCCCCCGCTTGCACGGCCTTGATCTATGCACTCATGATGGGAGTCTCGGTGGATGCAGCAGCCGAGAAGATCACCAAGAAGCGGCCTTGTGTGGCTTGCTCGTGCTTAGCTGGGGAATGAAGTGGGAACCTGGGCATTTATAGATTCCCTGAGATCTTGTGAAGGGACTTACCACTTGAACAAGTCCAACTCTTGCTGCATGTTGGAAAAGGTCGGAGTGAACGCAATTGCAATCACGCTTGATTTGGGAATACAAAACTTGCTGATTTTAAAAAAAGTACGCTGCAAGAGTGTGCTTTTGCATTTTTT